AATGCAGTCTCACATGCGTCATTCCATGTTTAAGATACATTCTTGCTAGTAAGTCTCGACAATGGGCATGCAATGATAGAAAATCGAGGGACAAACTTCTGGTCATATGACGCAAAGCCAAGAAAAGAACGCAGTTCACGGACATTCAAAGGTTGAGGCCACTTGCGAATGACCTCAACTTTGGTTGCCTCGGGCTAAACGCCTGCAACAGACAATCAATGCTCAAAATAGATGACACTGTCTCTCCCAAACCTAAATTTATCTAAGTTGACACAGAGCTGCGTTTTCTTGAGGATGTCCAACACTTACTCAAGGTGTTTCAGGTGTTCTTCCATCAATTTGCTGAAGATCAAGATATCATCCAGATAGACAACAACAAACCGGCCGATCTTTTCATGAAATACCTTGTCCATGAGACATTCAAAGGTGGCTAGCTCATTCTTGAGACCGAAAGGCATAACGATAAACTTGTACAACCCATCACGAGTCTTGAATGCGGTTTTGTGCTGGTCCACAGGATTGACTTCAATCTTGTGGTAGCTAGATCTGAGATCGATCTTGGAGAAAACCTTGCACCCACCCACCTGCAACATCAAGCAAGTCATCAATGTGTGGCAAAGGATAAACATCCTTTCTTGTGATCCTATTAAATCCAAAGTAATTAATACATATCCGGAGTTTGCCTCCTTTCTTGAGAACGAACAAAACGGGTGAACCAAATTCATATTCACTAGGGCTAATTAATCTTTGTTGATCATGTTGTCGATCTGCCTCCGCAGTTCCTCCAACGCGCTGGGTCCCATGCGGTACACACAACCCTTTGGAGGAATGTTGCCTTCGATCAACTCGATCTTGTGCTTGATCGAACGCACGAGGATTCCATGTGGTTCGGCCAGAACTTCCAGGAATCGGTTGAGAAGGCTTTTGATGTTCGTCGAAATTGTTGGAGGTGGAGGATTTGAATCAGGTGCAGGCAAATCATGCTGCAAATTAGCAGCCAAAACCACGAAACTTGAAGTAGAAGTAGATATATCAGTAGGACCGACATGCAAAGTAGTAGTAGTACTTGCCGCAAAATTAAAAGGCACATGGGTAGGGCGAACAAAGGCTATGTACAACTGTTTTTCCTCCTTGCGCCAGCGCCACTTTTTGCAGAATTGCATGGCATTGAGAAAAGTCACATCTCGGGTTTCTCATCCAAAAGGACAGGAAACTCTTATTCCCAAAGCATCTTGCACTACGAACAACGAATCCTTCCACACAGTTCTAACACATTTGGGCTGGCCGATATGCAAAGTAGTAGTAATACTTGCTTCAAAAGTACAAGGCACATGGGTAGGGCGGACAAAGGCTATGTACAATTGTTTGTCCTCCTTGCGCCAGCCCCACTTTTTGCAGGATTGCATGGCATTGAGAAAAGTCACTGGGGACTTGCGCTTCTCCTCCAAGAGGACAAAAAGCTTATTCCCCAAAGCATCTTGCACTGCGAACAGCGAATCCTTCCACACAGTTCTAACACATTTGGACTGCAACCAGCCCAAGCCAAGACCTGCATCGAAGGGACATTTGCCGAGGACGTAGAAGTTCAACGCCTGTGTGATGGTTTTGCCTTTGTCAAATTGCGCACACCTTTGACTGCATGTGTGGAGGTGTCAATCTCTTTGTTGCCCACTTGGGTTTGGCAAGGGTTCTGCAATTCCACTTGCTTCATTCCCAAGCTCACCTTGCGAACTCTGTGCGGAGAAAGAAAATTTGCAGTGGAACCACAATCAACCAACACAAGGAGGTAGCGGTGGTTAATGAGAAGTGTGAAGAAGGTCAACTGCACAGTCCCTTGACCACGACCTTGTTTCATCTCAGCCCAGTGCTGCAAGTGAGCGTGGAGGTTGGTCTCCTTAGACTCCTCCCAAGGCTCGGCATATAGGACTGGGTCTGCAACAGCCTTGGAATCAGCAGATGAAGGAGCATCAAGAGAAGGCTGCTGAACGACCTCAGATCCTGTAGAGGGATTTTCCACTTACCGGTTCAGCCTCTCTTGTAGTAGTATGCTGACAACAACTCTATGACCGTTGCTGGTTTCCCTGCAGCCGAAACCATTTATTAACGGTGTGTCCATGTAGCTGGCAGTGCAGCCAAACATTCCTCTTGAGCCTACTTCTCCACTCGCTTTCGCTAATCCAGAGATCAACGCAAGGTTTTGTGCTGCTGCATCCTCCAGTTTAGCTGGGATTTTGGCCCCTCTCTCTCTCTCTCTCTCTCTCTCTCTCTCTCTCTCTCTCTCTCTCTCTCTCTCTCTCTCGTGTGTCTCAGCTGAAGAAGTAGAAGAACTCTGGAACGGCAAGGAGGAGGGGCGATGAAGGACAGTGGAGAAAAGAAGAAGAAGAATTGACCCTCTCTCTCTCTCTCTCTCTCTCTCTCTCTCTCTCTCTCTCTCTCTCTCTCTCTCTCTCTCTCTCTCTCTCTCTGTGTGTGTGTGAGGTATCCAGGTATTGACCTCCGGAAAGGTGGCGCCTTGATGCAGGTACGGGCGTGCTGAAGACGAAGCTGGAGCGATGGCGTCACAGGTAAGTCGTCAGGTAAGTCCCCTGGCATCTGTCAGCCTCAACTCCCTAATCCCTGCTGTAGCTTGCTGCAACCCAAGCTCGACTACTCCTAGTGCAGCTGTGCCCAACGCGTCGACTACTGTAGACTACTCTCTACTCTAATGCTACTGTGCCCAGCGCGTCGACTACTGAAGACTACGGAGGCACTGCCTCAGTACTACCTGCCTAGAATGAGGCTGGCCCAGCTATATATAACGCTGGGCCTAGTGCCCTATGCCGGGAGGAAACAGTCTGGCGAAAGGAAAACTGGTCTGGCGCCAAGAGCAGGAATCTGTTCTGGCACCAAAAGTAGGAACCTGGCGAAAATACGAAAAGGTCTGGCGCCCAAAAGCAGGAGTCTGGCGAAAAGATGCCAATAGTAGGGACCTGGCGAAAAGTTGCCAAAACGAGATAGTGGCGTACTGGGTCCTATGGGCCTAACATGGCTGAAGTGACACAGACACTAAACCCAACAGAACCCATAACCCTACTGTCGGGCCCTGCGGGGTCCATGTGAAACTGCGTATGACGTGTCATGATAGGTTGTTTATGATGCATCCGATGGATTCGGATGATCACCATCCTCACGATTTTTGGCGCTTGTATAATGATCATGGGTATTCAATCAAATTAACACATGCACTTTTGCTGACAGCCTGACACGAAACTGGTAATCGCACATGCTTGATTGCGGGGACTTGAAAAACTCTTTTTTAAACGTGTATTACGATGAGAAACTTGATGATAGCTGTTCAGAATTATGCGCACCTGAGGCCAGAGCAAGGTACATCAGACGTGGAGCAAACGCAGTCAGGGTGTGTGCAGCAGCCAGCCCCCCCTTTGAAAAGAATGAAGAAATCAACACTGCTGAATCTGGCCTTGGGGATCTCCGAACGTACCGCAGAAGTGAGTTGTGGGCATCTCAACCGAATCTTGTCGTTATCCTGCGCCAATACGCCGATGAAAGTCGGAAGAAAAAGTTTGAAGAAAATGTTTGGAAAAGAATAGAAAAATCTTTCAATTGTGCCAGCCAATGTCTGTTGTCAGCCCAGCCGCATTTGGGTGAACGGAACGTATAGGTAACTGTTAGTAAACAGCTCATGAGTTCGAACCCTGTTCAAAACTGGGTGAATATTGTGATGTCACGTCCGACCCTCTTCCCCCGATGACGATATCTTGAGGCTGGCACCCTTAGAAAAAAAAAAGGGAAGGGATTGTGATGGCGATGAGCGATGTCCAGTTTTAGCTTTTTAAGCCCGCAAAGGCAGGAGTGGAGTTGGTCAACTCAACGACGATATCTCGAGGCCGTTACCTTTTTTCAAAAGAAAGGGATTGTTTTTGTTTTTAATTTGGACCATTTCTCGCTTTGTGCTTGTTGTCCTTTTGCTGCGGCCATGCTAATCTTCTCTGTATCGTTCCGATTTTTTAATGTCCGGAAGGATGAAAGGGATTTTGATGTCGGTGAGCAATGTTCAGTTTTTTCACTTTTAAAGCACCAGTACACATATCGGCCCGCAGGTGTCAGCACGAAACCCGCACCACTTCGGAGGCCACCAATTTTTTTTTTCAACGGCAGGCCTGGCCGCGCAACGCCTCTGAGTTTTGCTTGTGGCGACAAAAGAATTTCTGCAAGGCTGGGGCCGTGTACTACCGTCTTCACCCGAATAGAACGCCCGGTTATTATAGCTGTATCTGGACCGAAAAGTGCACCAAATACGGCTATAATGACCGGGCGTTCTATTCGGGTGAAGACGGTAGCGGTTTAAGCCAACAAAGGCAGGTGTGGAGTTGGTCAACTGAACGATGATATCTCGAGGCCGCTGCCATTTAAAAAGAAAGGGATTTTGAAATTTTTGATGCTGATGATTAATGTTTCGTTTTAAGCCCACGACAGCACGCGGACAGCTACAGAGAACCAGCCAGGCCAAGCAGGAGCCGCATTTGGTCAAGCGTGTCGTTGGTGTGTCACATCCAGCACTTTTGGGTGTATACTTCACAATGCACTGCGGAGGTGCTTTTTGCAAAAATATGGATAAATAGTAAATACTGATTCAGTAGTCATCTTCTCAGCCTTGTAGGTGTGGATAGGACTTGTGCTTTGTTTCGCTCAAGTTGCGGCTCGACAAACATTTATTTGTTGAAGTGTGCACACTGCACACGGTATTGGGCGCGAACGAGTTCACAAAGATCTTCCGATTTGTGAAAAAAACAACAACTGATGTCTCTTGCCCTACGTTTGGAAAAAGAAAAGCGCAGAAAGGCAAAAAGTCGGTGATTGTTTTCAACCAACGAATGGGATTTTGCGGGTTTGTGAATTTCAAGGGTGTATTTCAGGACGAGGTGATTGGAGGTGCGAAGTGGTAGTAGCTGATTTCCATGTGTGCGTACTTCATATGCTTGTTAACATGTACCTCTCAGGGGGGCGGATGAATGCAGAGCTGGCACAGGAAGACACAGTGTGGAGCCCAAATATGCTGATACCCACAATACACACAGGCGTCGGAGATGACCAGCCATCGATGGGTAGAATGACCACCAGTGGGTTTCACCTGGGTCTGAAAGGGTCAGAGTTTGAAGCTGATCAAGATGCGACAACAGCGACAACGGCGAATACGATGAGCACTCCGGCGACGACAAGGTCGAGGACGAGGAATGATGTGGAGGCCATGTCAGGAGGGGGTGGAAACAGCAGTGGGGGAGGGTTGGGAGTGAGTGGTGTAATGCATCATCCAGGGACTCCGGTTGCTGTGATAAGTGGTGGAAGTGGGGGTTGTGGAGGTGGAGGGGGGGGTTGCGGCGCCAGTGGGAGCTGTGTGGGGGGAGGGGGTTGCACACTGAGCGATGGCGGCATGGGAACCACCTCCGTGAGTGGCAGGGGAGGAGTCCCCATGGGTGTTGGCTGCTTGGGCATGCATGACGGGTTGGGAAGCGTGGGCGGTGTTACCGGGGGGGGAGGAGGATCAGGGATGAAGTGTAAGAAAGCAGCTGATGGGTTAAGCAAAGGCCACTCGGTGATCTTGTACTCCAGGGGTCACGAGGTGGCCCGAGGGAAAATCATCTCGTGTGAGCGTAACGGTCAGTGCAAAGTCAAACTGCGCACCTGGAACGGGGACGGGTTGACGCTCACCGCGGATGGTAAGCCGCTTCGCGAAGTCGGTCCCGGCGGAGAGATCCTATGGCTTCGTGGGGACGTTCGGCGTGACCCGCATAGGCCGATGACAGATGGGTCAAGCAGCATCGGGTAATGGCAAGGGGGGGGGGATATTATGAGAGAGGGACGGATGCAAGTCGGGTTGAGAGACTGCTTGAGCTGGCGCATGATTTACAACCGGTCTTCGTGTACAAGCGGAAAAACTGCTTGGGCGCACGATGGGACGGCTTGTGTCATCCATCTTCTTCCACATGCCGATGGACTGAGGACTTCCAGCCAGGCACATAGCAGATGTCTTTCCTGGAATCTGCAGTGGAGGATCAAGTGCTACATCCATCGAGGCATATGACTCGATGACAGCCGAGGAGCAGGTGGTACATCCATTGAGGCATATGACTCTATGGTGGCCAATGGATGTTGTTTCAGCATCTTTGCTGAATAATGGCAGCAGGGAATGGCAGAATGCGCTACTGTGTCGGAGGGAAAATGCCGCCGCTGCCAACCTGGCATGCAGCCAGGACTGTGTATCGTGCTACTTCCCTCTGCAGCTCCAGTATGCAATAAGCATCAGCATCACGAAGCGAAAAGCTGACGCTGCAGTGTCATCAGGTGCACTGTGCTGTCACATGGAACTGTGGGTAGATGAGATGTGAATCTCCCCTCCGCGAGGAGGTGGTCGTTGATCTGGATTCGCAGAGAAGTAACATCGCTACAATTTTGGCAGGTTATCCTTGCCAGTAGTAGGTCATTTTATCTCATTGCAAGTTGTCCGTGCGGAAATGCTCCTGATATATGTTCTCTACACAGAACTACCTATACGGATGGAGCCTTCACACCACCAGAATGACAGTGAAGGGGTCGACGAGAGGAGGAGAGAGGGAGAGGGACGGCCAAGAGGGAGGAGTCCGACCACAGTGGATCGGCCTGTTTCGAAGAAAGTGGTCTTACCCAGTCAATGCCGAAAGTTTGACGGTCGGGGAAATTCGTATTCAATTGTCAGAGGTGAAACTCGTGGATTTGTGAAACGAAAGTTCGATAACGCAGGCCGAAGCGACCATCAGACTGGAGTTCACGCATGCTCATGCCCCACCCGACTGACATCCATGGCATAGGGGCTGGGTGCTGTGTCATCTTATCGTATTTTCCCCTCCAGGGGAAGACACGACATGTCCAACGCATTTTTGGCCGAAGAACCTCTCTGCGTTGGACATGTCGTGGATCGAGCCTCCTTGGTAAACGGTGAGTGGAGTTCACGCATGCTCTTTTGGCCAAAGAACCTCTCTGCGTTGGACATGTCATGGATTGAGCCTCCTTCCTTATTTAGCAGGTCTTCTTATCAATTGTCAGGGAGACGTTGTAGGTGGGATTCTGTCGAACAGAGAGCTGGATGGGGCTGGACGGGACCACAAAGAAGCGGAAAATTGGTCAGGTACCGTGCCCGTCTCACTGACGCATGACTCGAGGATAACCAAGTGGCAGTTGAAATCAGAAACCTTTTCTACTGTTCAGCAAGGATGGACGTGTGTGACCACCATGTACCGAGATAGGTACGCGATCCACCGGTGGATGGAGCCTTTTGCTGCCTCCTCATGTCATGTCCGACCGGGTGGCTCTTCTTCCACTGAATTGTCGAGGATATTCTTGCGACGAGGATATGCTTGGGACAAGTATCCGAGCATTCAGCAGTCTTAAACCGCAGCAGAAGTATATTGCAGCGAACGGATCAGTAGGTTGAATATCTTTGTTTATGCCCATTGAGACACTGTGGGCAGGAATATGCAAACAACATGCTGAAGTACAAGTCCGAGCCGCCATGTTGGGTTTTCGATGCTTTTATTATTATGGCGTAAAAAAGTGAAAGGCGTCCGCCAGCAAGATGTGGCTGCGTGGTAGGGCTCATCAACTCTCAAGTTGTCTTTCAGGAGCTGAAAGACGCAGCGATAGTGTTTTCGACAGATGGATTGGAAATTGAAATCCAACGGCTTGACTTGGTAATCCGGTTTATGCTGCGCTGCAGGTAGCAGTTGATATATGGACTACCTACAATGTCAGTAAACCTGTTCTTCGGCATTCTGCTGATGTGCTCAGGTGTTCCGATGTATGGACTACATACAATGTAAGCAAACCTGTTGATATATGGACTACATACAATGTAAGCAAACCTGTTCTTTTGTGGTGGTGGAGGTTACAATCGCTTCTCATGAGTGGCGATTGGGATCCCCATGGGCGACGACTTATCGTGAGTGGCGATGGGGATCGACTCGACTTTGCCAAGGCACTGTGTTCACAGGTTGGTTATACAGGAAGAAACCATTCTGAAGCTCGGCCGGAAGCTTTGTGTGTTTTGTGGTGAAAAGGGGTTACGGGAATCCGACAATGAGTGACGATAGCGGTCGGTTCGACTATTGTGTGTGAAACAGCACAGCGGTGCCGTGGACACTGCTCATGGGTCTGTTTACAGCTGATGATGATGCACCGAGGAAGGGGAGCAGAGGTAAGGGAGAACGGTGGATTTCAACAGAGATTGTTGCCTTCCTACAGCTCGTAAAACCTAACCTCTTCAAAAGTTTGGTGTATTGGTGTTTTGCCCTGTTTGTCGTTTCGCTTCTCACGATCTTGATATTCTTCTGTTGTAGTTCAGAGGCCAATCCTTCGTAGTGACCGTTAAAGACACGGTGTTTCTTCTTTCAAACGGAATATACGCGGATCGGAAGTTAGCACAGTGCAGATTGGTCACATGTTTCCCTATTATTGCACAAGAGGGTCCCGGTGTCCGGTGTGCGTGTAACGATCCAGTCATACCAAGTGTGCAGCTTCAATCTAAATCAGTCTGTAGTTCTTAAGCCTATCCTGTCAGGTTTTGGTGCTCGCTATGAGGCCGGCCGCGTTAGACTTGGGGTTTGATATGATTTGATTTGATTTGATTTGATAATCAATCAGTCTATACAGCACTGCAGGTAGGGCCAAGTTCACCAGCCTGCTTGATCCTCACTAACCCTGGTTAGGTTTAGCAGAAGTGTGGAATGCTAAACCTGGCCTGACTACATGGGCCTCACATCACATCGTATGCCCCCGCGGCCGCGTCAGACTTGAATTTGATTTGATAATCAATCAGTCTATAGACTCTATACAGCACTGCAGGCAGGGCCAAGTTCACCAGCCTGCTTCCTTCTCACTAACCCTGGTTAGGTTTAGCAATAGTGTGGAATGTTAAACCTGGCCTGACTCTGAAAGCAACACGCGCCTCACATCACATCATATGCCCCCTCCCCTTGCAACATAACCCTGGTTAGGTTCCTGTGGTATTCTCTCAGGCTGATGAGTTAACATTTCACAATGTAATTGGATATGGTCTCACACAGCCAGGTTGTCTGCCATCCCACATTATAATCTTCATTGCAGCAGAGGAGAATCGCTGGAGGATCCAGAGTACACCACGGGGTATATACGGCTGTGCGCCCATCGTTGAGGGTGTATACGGAAGTGCAGCCATCGGTGGAGGTTCTGGTTCTGGTTCTGTCTGCAGTTAACTAGCTAGCAGGCAGTGTTGCAGTGTTCAGTTGTCGGAGGCTATATTCAGTCCGATATAAAGAGAGAATGAGAGGCGCCGTGGAATAGCGGCGGGGTCGGGTGGACCCATCATTTTTCGCCATTTATTGTTCCAGCTGTTGGTGTTGCCTTTCATTGGCAACAATTTTCTACAAGAGGTGGTTTTGCCTGTTTCCTGCTTGTGATAGTTTACGGCAGAGTCGCAGACAGAACTGGCGCCGGTTGCATCACACTGTTCAGCTGTTGTACCGTACGGCAGAGTCGCAGACAGAACTGACGCCGGTTGCCCAAGAACTTGTACATATATTACCTCACATGACCGATGGATCACGAACGCATTCTGGCGTGCCCAGACATTATTGTTTCATCGCAGTCGCATCCTTGTTCATCCTCGCTCGTACTTCCACATTTCGCAGATGACATTGCGGGTTCGTGGATGAGCAGACGAATTCCAAAAAGGGGGAAACAAGCCGCGCGGGATGGTGGGTGGGGAGGGGTACTTTGTATGTGGGGGGGGACAATTGGGGGTTGACGGAGTTCGCAAACTTTGCATGATGGCTACGCTGCAGCCACCATGCCATCTCAGGACGTACGCATACTAGTGTGACGCTTTTGCTTTGCTTGTTTGTGGACGTGATTACGGTCAGATACATTCACGTCTGGGCGTAAATGCTGTCAGATAGATTCGAGATATAGCTACTTGTGTGAGTACGCCCGCCCTCAGCCGGACTTTTACAGGAGGGTGTTGGAACGAGAGGTGGGGGGGGGGGGGGGGGGGGGGGGGGGGGGGGGGGGAGGGGGTGAACACATATGGCTAGGCCAGGACATGAGAGAAAGCAGTAGAGGGAGGAGGGGCTGAACTGGGTAATGTTCGAGGTGAGCTGATGATGAATGAACTTTGGTGGCTTTCCTGTTCAGGTCACTTTGTACGTGCCTGGAGTATCGGCAGCAGCTTCCTTTTGATTGCACTGCTGCCAAAGGACACGAAGCTACCGGTGGCGTTCACGCGATTTTTTTCTCAACGGAGATTGCGAGATTCATTCATCCTCCGTGGTAGATTTTGTCCTCTGCATGTGCAACGCACAAGCAGCAATTTTTTTCCCCCCCTCGACTCCCTTGTCGTTCGCGAAAGATATCCTTCTCCTCTGTTTAGCCTCCGATCTGTTTGTCAGGTCTGTGGACCCTCTCTTATCGCCTCACCGTTCCACTTATCTTCTTGTTCTTCGGTTGGGGGTTTACGCCGTCCTAAGCAAGCAATTTTAATATTTTTAATTAATTTTATTGTATAGACAGTAGCCCAGTGTATTGTTTTGTAACTAATTCCAACATCACAATGTGTTGTTGTCGCTGAGAGGAAGAAGTTTTTTTTTTTTTTTTTTTTTTT